TTTGAAAATTATTAGGCTCAAGTTTGACTTGATTATTCCAGTTTGTTTGGTGAGCTTGAGCCTGACTTTGAGAAATAAAAAAAAAATATATTTTCTATCTTTTTTACTATATAATTCTGAAATTATCTTTAAAATATATTTTAATTTAAACCAATGACTCGATAAATTTATGTCATAAATTACTCTAAGCTCAAGTATATGCTTGCGCTCAAACTCATGGCTCGATATGCTCACCTTATATACTCTTTAACAATTGTTGAGTTCGAGCAAGCTTTACGAGTGGACTCAGCTCACTCACATAATATAATTGTATATGAAGATCTTAAAATAATAATAATTTTTAAATATTAAGCTATAAATCATTAAATCCTTTTAAATATTTGTGTGGTTCATTTTCACCCCTACAAGCAACATTAAATTAATTACATATTTTAGACTAATTAAGGCTTTATTCTGCAGTTGAATGCAATCATAAATCTAAGGCTTCGTTTAGGACATTTATTTTACTGTTTTATAAAGCTTTTTAATACAAAAATTTTTAATTAAAAAAATTGTATTAAAAAAATACTTTAAAAAATAATAATAAAATTGTCCCTAATGAAAACTAAGAGTCATAAATATGAATCAATAACTCTATTTATGAAATGAATTATAATTTCAGTTGAAAATCTATACATGATACGTTCGCGCTTAATAAAGGCCGAGTGACCGACCGTCCGACCCTTTCTATCGAATAAAAATTATGTTAGAATAAATGATATTAATATGAAGAATTTAAAATTTTTTAGATTTATTTTAATATTATTGTAAAAGAAATTCTTCATCTGCAATATTAATTTTAAAATAAATTCAATAATTTTAAATTTATTTTAATATAATTTCTGTTGAAATATTCTAACATAAAATTTTTCATGTATTTAACAATTATATGATTATATCGTGAATAGCAATGCAATACTGCACCTTAAAATTGTTATGTAACTGTCAACGTTTGCAATAGAATTCACCTATTTTCCATCCATTAAGGTTTCGTTTGAGACAGCTTTTTTACTGCTTCTTTAAGCAACTTTCTAAAACAAAAATTGAAATTTTTGTGCTAGAATATTGCTTTAAGAAGCAGTAAAAAAGTCAACCCAAACAAAGCCTAAGTAAGGCTTCATTTGGGATGGCTTTCTTGCTGTTTTTTAAAACAGCTTTTTAATACAAATATTAAATTTTTTTACTAAAAATTTACTTTAAGAACCAGTAAGAAAACCGTCCCGAAGAAAATCCAAATCTCAAAATTTTGCACATAAAATCATGAATCTTAATACATTTTAAGATATTATATGTTAATATTTTTTAAATGATTGGTTCATGAGCTAATGAGTCGAGTTGAGACACAGGATCTATCTTGGTTCATTAATTCATCGAGCTCAACTCAAGCTATTTATCAAGCCTAACCTGACCGGGCACATAAATCAGCTTCACCCACTTATACCCCTACTTGCACTTCAACATCAACGCCTCAAGTGCTTCAACACTTCAATGAAAAATTGAACTATTATAACAATTCTCTTATACGGCCACATCAAACATTTTATTTTATTTGAATTGAGAGTACATAAGCATGTTAAATGGTTAAGGTTTTATTTTTTTATTACTTCCTAAAATAATTTTCTAGCACATAAATTTTTAAAAAAGGTTGTACTTAAAAAGATTAAAAAAGTGTCGCAAACAAAGCCTAAGAATCCGCAAATCCTAACCTGAATTCAATTCCTACACCAAACCACATAAATGATCGGATTCATTCATAACTGATCAAAATTTAATTAAAATAAACTTTTAAAGTTATTTAAAAATGAATTTAGTATATATAAATTACATTCACTTTTAAATTAATTCTAAAAATTTAAAATTCATCTTAATTAATTATTTATAAAATATTGGAAACCAAAGTTTATTCTTTCAAACATATTCATAATCATAATTTATTTAATTATTTTTGATATTCAATGTTTATTTTCAACTAAAAAAACGATAGGCTTGCATAAAAAAAGCATAAAAAATCATACGATGCCCCCTTTGCATGCCCACGTTAAGGGGCTGTTTGGTATGCGGATTTAGGCGGATTTAAGGCCGGATTTGGGCGAAATCCAGCCAAACGGCCTAAAATGCAAATCCAAATCTCACGGATCAGTATAGTGAACTCCGTCCCACACCACCTTTTTTGATGGCTCGGGGCACGATCTTCCAAGCAAAACCTCACTGCCGTTCACCGTTGCCGTGCCCCCACACCGGATGTTGTAGTCGAAATTGTACTTGCCACCACCGTACCCGCAGCATACCCTCAGAGGGTCCTCAAACCCTATAATTAAAGTTGGATTAGAATATAAAATTGTTTAAATTTTAAAAATTAATATTTTAATTCTTATTCAAAAACTTTTCCATAAACCCTACAATAAAACAATTTATTATTATAAATATTTCAATTACAGCTTACAGTAAATAATTGGCTTCATTTAAAAACAAACACAAATGTTAAATTGTTAAAACCCAGAAAAAAATTGTATTTTGGCGAAAATGAAAATAATTTAAAACTTTTTTTTTTAAACGGGATATCTATCCGCTGTCATTACTGAAAGGACATTTGGTGGCTGACTAATTCTCGGCTGACCTTGCTAAAAGAGGCACCCACCTCAGAAACTTCCTGGCCCGCATTTGATTGGACCCCACTTAAGAGGCACTGCCTCTCGAGGGAATCGAAAACGGGTTGGGGGTTCTCAATCGTACTCGTCTACCAACCAAGCTAAATATATGTGGGTTAAAATAATTTAAATCTAAAAACAAAACCAAGATAAGCAGGCCGGTTCAATGCATTAATGAGCATGGCTAATAATAGGTCCAACCCGGAGACCGTCTCAAACACGATTAATTATTCTTTTTGGATGACGTAAGTCGTCTGGAGACCAATCAGAATACACCATATCACCTCTTCGCTCGATAATGTGACTCGATACTACTAGATATCGTGGCTTGATACCGCTCTCCAAATAATATTCTACGTCCGGCACATAATAATTTTTCCTTACACATAATGTTAGCGATAAAGCCATGTAAGAGAGTGACCATTCCGTAATGGAAACGGCAGCCAAGAAGACAGATTAGGCTCTTTGAATATTATTATTTTAAATTTAATTCACTTATAAACTGCCAGAATTTTGCGGTCCAAGCCATAAAAGTTGATTTTAATGAGCGGATTTTCATATTATGTGGATTCATTATATTAAATTTGAATTCACTAGTATCTTTGAATATTATTATTTTAAATTTAATTCACTTATAAACTGCCACTATATAGGGTCACCTACATGAATCAATTTTTTCCATTGTGTCATATTAAGAATTAAATTCTCATTTAAATCTAATAAAGAAAGGTAATTTCTAATATTTTCTATCCAAGTTTTTTAGGTCCACCTCTACTTTTCTTAATACAAGACAAATCCAATACATCTAATTTCCCAACTAGGTTATCAAAAGGCCGTCGTTTTATGTAACCAAACCATAAAAGTTGACTCTTTCTAATCTTATCTTCCACAGATGCAACTGTAACCTTTTCAAATATATGCTCATTTCATATTCTGTCTATAAGAGTAAAGCCACTCATTTATTTGAGCATCTTCATCTCTACAACACTTAACATAATATTATGATTCATTTTTAATGGCCAACATTCTGCACCATAAAGCATTGTAGGTCTCACCACAATCTTATAGAATTTTCCCTTAAATTTGAGGGGGAGTTTGATGCATTCCTCCACTTTAACCAACCAAATTAAATTCTACTAATAATATACCCATTTATTTCATCATCACTCTAAACAATGGACCAAATACATCTAAAACATGTATTCTTATTAATGACTTGATAGCCTAAAGTCACCATCCCCCATTAGATCTATTACTATTAAAATTACACTCAATATATTCGATTTTAGATCAACTCAAATGAAAACCTTTAAACTATAAGGTTGGCCTCCATAATTCAAGTTTACTTTTAACTCCCTCCAAATTAGAAAAATATAATATGGTCTTACTACCTATATTAGTCGCTTCAAACTTATAACCATCATGAATGTTTTTAAAATTATCTTCCGACTACCATTGTCATACCATCACAATCGAATTGTCGTTGCCCAACCTCAGTTGTTGAACAAAAAATGACTAACCGTTGCGCGGTTGCAGTTGCATGACCATCACCACTGCCCAACCATCGTCTTCAAACTGTCCCCATTATACCACAACAAGTAGACCGCTATTAGGGCTATAAATGAACCGACTGTTCGACGAGCTACTTGTGGCTCATCTCGATAAGAGCATGCTTATGTTTGTTTGATTAGCTAAACGAACGAGCTCGAACAATTTTAATAAAGTACTCGATATCTTAATAAACGAGCTTGAACAGTGTGTCGTTCGGCTCATTTATGTTCACATTCAAGCTCGTTAATAAACTCGGTTAGAGTTTGATTACGGTTTGTATTCAGCTAGAATTATCTTAAAATAAATAAATAGTTTTAGAATAAATATTATTAAATTACTTTAACTAATTTAATAAATTAATTCTCACTTATTTAAATTATTTTTAAAAGAATGAGAACAAAGTTCTGCTTCTCCGCTCGGACCAGTCAAGCTTGCCCTACAGGAATAAAACGAAAAAAAAAAAAAAAAATCTTGCTTCTCCGCTTGGATCACTGTCCTGCTTTTCGCTTATTTAGTTCCACACCATGCAGGGTTATTTAATTTTCCTTTATACAAGAAAAATATAATAGAAATCGGAGCTATTATTTTGTGCGGACACCGGACGGTTCTCCCATCTGGTTAAGCAATAGGTACCAGCGGTACCGAGCAATGGGGTGACGTGGCACATTTTTATTGGTCTCCGAACGCCCTCCGGACTCCACACAAAATAATAAATCGTTTAAACGAGCAAACAAATGAGATGAAGAAACGAGCCAGTTGACAAGCAGCTCATTTTCGAGCTGGAACAGGGTCCTGGCAAATGAGTTTGAACTTGAACATGTTGAAGCTCGACTCAGCTCGGTTCATTTACAGCCCTAACAGCTATCACCTGAGCTCTGTCATTGGAGAATTGTTCGATGTACTATAATTATCGGACAATCACTAATGAACTACATTTGTTGGACTGCAATCAATAGACCTTAATTGGAAAACTAACATCATCTGGTCATAATCGTCTGAACATCTCTTATCCATTTTCTTCTCATCAGGTACGGAATTAGCCTTACTTTTGAGAGTGTGCAAAATAAAATTAAGTTTGAAATAAAAAAGAAAATTTTTTCTTAATTTTGAGCATAAATATTTATTGAAGAGGGACAAAATAATTAAAATTCTTATTGTACTAAGGAAAAAAAAAATTTGGAGGTAGACAATTATCCACCCTTAGCCTTTCGTAGTCTACGCCTGCCTTTGCATCTCATCAAAAATTTCACTTCCTTTACAAATGGATAAGCCAACTACTCATATTCAATTCCCTTCCTTCTCCAATTAAAGAAAAGGACATATCTTTATAACCCAATGCTCATTTAGTTGAACTATTTCCACATGAGTAGGTCCCTTTTCCCCTTTTTGGGTTTTCGTCTATCAATACATTTTTTTTATTTCATCTTTGCCTATGCCAAATTTTCATGCTAAGTTAAAGACATTAAATTCTTTATTAACTGTCACGATTCATGAACATTCTAACACTTAATAAATATAATAACTATATTTGATAAAAATTGCCTCAAATGATTTGGTTAAATTTTTAACCTAAATTAATTTAAAACTTTAATTTCCTTTTAGATATATATATATATATGCATGCTTAAGACATTCTCCTTTAAGCTTTGTTGGATCCCGGAATATTCGTTGTGGTAAAGAAATATAAAGTTTAATGTCCTAGCTTTATACGAAGATCCAACACGCAAACATATAAAAGAAAGGGTGCATTATTCATAATAGACACTAAGATTTTTATGTGGAAAATCCTAAAAATAGGAAAAACCACAGGTCCTCGCCCAGTTTGAATGAATCCACTATTACTTGCAGTCTATTACAAAAGAGGCCCTTCGTTGGGAGAAAACATTGACTTGATGTAATAAATATACATCCTATAAAGTGCATTACATGATGGGACTTGAGAAAATTACTATCGATATGTTTGTTTGGTCGGCAGAATTATAGTCAGTGGGCGACGGAGGCCAGAAAGACTGTTGTATGTGACGACATTGGAGGGACCGTAGTCGGCGTCCATTAGTGGTCAGAAAAGACCATTGTTTGGCAATAAAGTCGTAAAGACCATAATTCGCGAACGATAGTGGCCAGAAAGATCATTATCTGGCAACGGAGGTTCAAAGGACCATAGTCTGCGAACCACAATGATCAGAAAGATTATTGTCTAGTGAATGAGATTGGAAGTAGGGCTGTCAAAATCGGGTCATGGATCGGGTTAGGGTCGAACCCAAAATTGACTCAGCACTATTCAACATGACCTATTTTTACAAACGAGTCAGTTTTTCGTATCCAAACCCGACCCACTTCAGGTTCGGGTCAACCCGAACCCGACCCCTACCCGCATAGTGACAATGCGTGAGTTCATTGTCGAAGGAGGTACCTCAGATCAAAAGTTACAACATTTTGATCAGAAGTAACCAGGGGAGTTCGCTCGTTGTTAAGATACCTCGCCACCTCGGCTCCTTCGTTGTTATCCGACTTCGCTCCTTGGATGAAGTTCCCTTCCAGGCGGATCGAAAGTTGCAACATTTTGATCGGAAGCAACAATGGGAGTTCGCTTGCTGTGAGTCACTAACTCGGCTCCTTCGTTGTTATTCGGCAACGTTCCTTTGAATCTGTTCCTTTATTGCCGTATCAAAGTTACAACATTTTGATCCTACGATTGTAGTCGACTGGCGACAGAGGTCAGAAATCCAACGATGGGCAGCAGTCTGGCATCAGGAAGAAATTCAACGATGGAAGGAAGTTCAGCTTTAGATAGAAGACCGACGGAAGTCTGGCGACTGGTAGAAATCCGGTGATAGGTGGAAGTTCGACGTCATGTAGAAGTCCGACGAAAGTCCAACGACCGGCAAAAGTCCGATAACGGGCATAAGTTTGTCGTCATGTAGAAATCCAACGACGGTCGGAAAGTTCGGCGTCGGATAGAAATTTGGCAACAGGTTGAAGTAATGCACCAGTTGGTGGCCGGACACAAATCTAGTGTCAGTTGGTGGCTGGGAAAAAATTTGGTGTCAATCGGTGGTCGGGCAGAAATACAGCGTCCGTCGGTAGTAAAGCGGAAGTCCGGCAACAGTCGATGGCCTGACTGAAGTTCGGAGGTAGTCAAGGATGAGTCTGATGGCAAGAGAACTCTTCCTTCTCTTCTTACTTGATCCCCTCCTCTTCATTCCATGAGTAATGAGTGGTCTATTTATAATTTTCTGAGAGTAGTAAGAGTGTTAATTATTGACACGACCCGACAACCCGACTCTAATCCGAATAAATAAATCCAAGTTATGGTCGACCCGTTTAACAAACAGGTCAGATTCATGTTTTGAGTTTCAACCTGTTTTAAAAACGGGTCGAGTTCGGGTCAACCATGTAACCCAAAATTGACCCGGCTCCCAACCTGCCTTGTGTATCGTATCCGCTACTCGCACTATGCATCTTCGCTCTCCGCAGTCTGCACCAGTCTCGCATCCTCCCTCTCGTTGAACCACGGAGCTAGAAACATGCCAGCATCATGCCAGGCACGCCGTGCCAGCATCACGCCAGTCTCTAGGCTCACATCGCGAAGCGCCAAAGCTGCATCGGTCTAGCCTGCCCTCGCGAGTCGCTTTGATTAGCGGAGCCGCACCGTCAAAGCCTCCCTTGCATCAAACAGCAGAGCAGCTCCAACTCGCGCAAGCGCATAGCAACCACAACTCTCGGCCTCGCTCGAACCGTTTGAATCCAGATCTCTAAATCTCCTTTGCGGGTCAGGTCAACTAGGTAACTTGTAGGGGTCGGGTCCGGGTTGACAAACCTGACCCATTTGCATAAAATAGGTCGGGTTAGTGTCAACCCGTTTATAATTAGGTCAAGTTGAGTTCAACCCAAACCCAACCCGTTGACCCAAATTGACACCCCTAGAGAGTAGCATGACTAGTAAATAGGAGGGAGATAAAGAGTAAGTTGGGAGTGGTTTAAATGTATGGTTGATATGGATTCCCTCAATCATATATCGTTTATTTTGTATTTGAATGCCTTAATGATATCAAAATTTGATGATCTTGGGCTCGTTGGATTTATCTCATCGTGCCGCTAGATTTGACTATAAGCATGTCACGTTTAGAAACTGTTTGATAATCCAAATTATGGATTGAACCTTCCAAATGCGCTTCAGGTCTTTGATTTGGACTCATTTGGGATCAAATTGAGTCGAATTTGATGTCGTTGGGTTCGTATTTTCGAGACGTTCAGTTCGACTGTAAGTTTGTTAAAATCGGAGTTCATATGATCTCTAATTTAATTTTTGAAAATTTCAACTTGATTTTTCCTCATAATTCGAGCCCGGTCAACCTAATTTTTTGATGATATATCAAGCTTATTTGGAAGACTATAAAAAAAAAATAATTACAAAATAGTTTTTAGTATTTATAAAGTAAGTTTCATGATCAAATTTTGACTTAATAGTTTTAATGTTTTTTTTTTAATTTATTTGAATTATTTATATATTATATTCATGCATTTATTTATTTATCTATATATCTATCTTGATCACAAATCATACCGTATTTCGAGGGCTCGAGGAAGAGCGAGTACTTCGCCGAGTAAATATCGACGTATGTTATAACGGCAAGAGGCAGCTCCTTCCTCATCTCCACTAAAGTCTCGTTGAGCTTTTTGTTGAACTGCTGTGCCGCCTTGTTGTAGAAGACAGCACATCCGGCCGAATCAAGCTCGCCGGCAACGGTGAGGTTTCGCCGGAGCAGGACGTACGCAAGGCAACCGAGTGGGCCGGTGTTGTGAATCCAGAAATACCTCGCACCCAGATCATAAATCCTCTTAACTTCGCCGTAGAAGACGCATAACGTCTGTAGAATGACCTCGTCATACGTTTTTCCGGCGTCCAAGCCCGCGGTGATGTCATTCTGCCCGATGTCGATTGTATAAAGAGATTGATTGAAGTATTCCTTTTTTGGCATCAATGATTCGAAGAACCGTCCTGCAAGCAAAAATAGGGATTAGTTTTTTAAAATTTTAGGGCACGTGAAATTGGACCAACATCCTTTAAAGGAGAATTTTATGAAAATTCTATTCCTATTAAGAGCATCTCCAATCATAAAATCTCATTTTTCACTCCAAAATATCGTGAAACTAAAAAATGTCATGATTCATCTCCAATTTAACTCCATTTTCCCCCCTTTCGCAGGTAACGATCGTCCCTTCTTTCGCGCGACAAGTTCGGTAGAGACATAAAATTGGCAGACATGAACAATGCAACGCCAATATTGGCGTCCCACTATTCACCCGCAGCTAAATAGCGGAAGTTTTGCCATTCGGCTGGAGCGGGCGAGGGACGCCATTCAAGCGTTTGGAGTTCGGTTAGAGATGCCCTAAATAATTACATATAAAACGTTCTCCACACAAATACAGTTCAAGTAATTTTACTTGCCTCGATTGGCGACTAATTGAGTCCTGGGAATGAATTGGGAGAACTGCAAAATCTGTACGGCGAGAAAGAAGGGACTGTACCCTCCCTGTGACAGAGAGGTGTTTTGATCTATAATGGTGGAAGCCGCGGTGGCGAAGTTAACTCCATGGCTGTAATTTGTGCCAAGCGAATCCAGGTAGGAGCTCAGGAAAGGATGCCCAAATCTCTTTGCTGAAAACATTTCAGAAAAAAATTTCATTATTTGTATCACATTTGAACACAAAGCAAAGATGGTAAGGGGGATTAAGCAATGGAACCGATGAAATCGATGATAAGACGGCCGTCGGAGTATCGACCCGCCGGCATATGAAAGAAGGTCTCGCCATAGGGGGGTGGAGTCGGGCCGAAGGTCGCCGATAACCCGCCGGTGTCAGAGTTAGAGTCGCCGAAGTTGACGATGGCTGGGAAATTGCACGCCGGCGAAGAATACGCTATCTCCGGCGCGATGTAAGAAAAGAACAGGAGCTGGAGGAGGAGGAGGAGGAGGAGAGGTTTCATTTTGAAGGAAATTCTGCTCTGTTTGAATAAAAGACGAGAGAGAAACGGAGACTTTGAAGGAATTTTAAAAAAAGGAGAGTATAAAAAGTGATCAAGTAAGAGGAGCGGGACAAATTCGTCAAACTTCTTTAGCGGGGGGAGAGAGAAAGAGAAATGAGAGAAAGAAAAGGAGGAAATAATTATTTGGGGTCTTCGGATACATAGTTCATTGGATGATGCGGCATATTTGAATCGGCCTACAGACATGTCCGGGAGAGATTTAAATAATTTTTTGATATTTAAAACAATATTTAAAAATATTATATAAAAAAATTATAATTTATATTTTGATTTATTAAATTTTTTTATTCTTAAGAACATAAAAGGGAACGTTCTGAAAAAAATAAAAAAAAATTAAGAGAAATACCGAGTTGTACCGAGTTTTTCTGGGAAAAACTCGGTACAACTTTGATATAACTCGGTATTTAATTTGCTCTGTAAAGCCTGATATAACTCGGTATTGGGTCTTCAAATGATGATATTCTTCGTTATTGTTTGATATTGCTCGGTATTTGTTCGGTACAACTCATTTTTTGACGGGAATTTGCTTCCGACCGGACGTTCCTCTACGTCCAATCAGAGGACGTAATAATTGTTCCTACTTCTCTGTCCCATTTCTCTTTCTCTCTGTCCATATGTCTTCTCTCGGAGTCTCTCTTTTCTCATATCTCTCTATCAATCGTTTCTCTTTCGTGTTTCAACTGAATACATCAAAATGAATTGACACATTCAGAACTTATCAACTCATTTAAGGCATTTATTAGGACTGTGCCAAACAGTTTGACGAATTTATTTTTCTTCTAAATTTTTTAATAATCACACTTTTTTTACTTAATTACGTTTTAAACACTAACCTTTTTAAAAATTCCTCCTACGAGAAGTCGTTTATAGAGAAGAATCGTTAATTGGTCCTACAAGGTTGGCGATGAAAGGTGTTTCTCTTCTTCTGGGAACAGTCTCGATAAATTTAGGTGGCTGAAGAAATTTCTAATTGATGGATATCTGGCAAATTATTGCGTCTGGTCACCTGACATGCGGACATCCAATCCGGATACGCCACCTCACCCGGATGCACTGGGCCCTGATATTTTTGAGTGATGTGGCGCGTTTTTATTGGTGTCCGGATTCCTCTGGACACCGGACACAATAATTTGCAAGTAGTGAGTGAGTAACAAAATGTTATGCAGTACCTCTTAATCGGTTAATTCAGAGTTTAAAAATCTCATTTTAAAGATTTAAAATTTGATGCGAGAATATATTATTAAATTTATTTAAAATTTTAAAATTTTTTATGAAAATTGTGAAGATGATGCACATATTTCACTTATATAACATTCTTTGTAACTGAAAATCAGAAAAAAAGAATTTTTTTACCATTAAAATTACGAACAGCTGGATAGAGGACCAAAATTAGTGAGGGCAAGATGTATGAAAAGAAAAGATCCTTAATAGTGATTGCTGCTCATCAGAGCCCATGGAGCAGCACAAATATTATTATGGCTACGTATGGGACGGCTTTTCTCCTCCTCTTTAAAGTAGTTTTTTAGTTCAAAATTTTTAATATTTGAACTAAAAATTTGATTTAAAAAACAGTAAAAAAGTCGTCCCAAACGAAGCATGTATCGTAGGATTATAATAACCAAATGAATATCCATCTTATATTTGTATAGCAATGGTACTTTTCTGCACACATAGTACATCAACTTTTACTCTTCTTACACAGGAAATACAACTGAGTCATTTTCTCAATCCTTTGTGTATTGCTTGTTGTTTATTGCCAGTAGTGTAAAGCAATTGTTTGAAACTTTTACACAATTTGTTTCTTCATAGTATCATATATAGCTGCTATACCTTACGATATATACATCTTCAGCATGGAGCAGTCCGCCACCTCATAGCTTAACGATGGTACCCAGTACACCTCCTTCTCGGAACCTCACATTCCTTCCTCTGTAAAGTTTATTATCATTTATCTCTAACATCAAAATCATTCTGCCCACACAACTCTCAAATGACACATATTCTATATGTTTATGTGATTGAGTTATATTCTTTATTGGTTGAATTGAGAAGTACTATAAAATATTATTATAAAAAGCAAGATATTCAAGGGTCTGATAATTGTAAATTATGCATTATTTTATGTGTTTATTTTCAGTAAAAAAATGTTATTTTAGTTATTTTTGTGTAGGAAAAAAAAATTTGCAAAAATTCTAAGGATTCCACAACGCACAACATTCGACTAAAGCGGCTGTGCCACATTCAGTATCATCGAGAGGCCACAAATTGGACATTGCGGCACAGAGATCTCTATTTGCAAGCATTACGGTTTTAACACATCCAGCGCCGCAACATTACCAATGCTGCGGTGTTAAAAAGTCAACTTGGAAACACCATATTCTCTGTTTTCAAATGCTGTGGCGCCACAATTTTTCACACCTTTCTGCCATTTTTGCTACTTGGGCACCATAGCGCTCGAATGTCAACAATGCCACCGCATTACAGTTGTAACTTCCAAGGACAAAATCTTTTAGTGAAAAGACACGACTGTTCATTAAATAACATGTTAGTGAGCGTCCCAATTAACGGTGCAAATGCTTTAGCTTCGAGGCACTAGTTCACTTTAAGGGCGCTACGATATTTGCATTATTTCAAGCGTCATAGCGCCAAATATATTTTTTAAAAAATATATTTTTTTATAAATAGTTATGATATTATGTTTGTAAGGGAGTTAAGTCAATTGTGTAAAATTCAGTGCTTTTTAAATTACTTATCTAGTTCTCTTTTAGAATAAAATCTGAGGGAGGCTAAGAAAATACAAGATAAAATTATTTGGAGTTTTTAACCAGTGTTTCTTGAAGCAACTTTGTAAGTTAAGGGAGTAGTGTAGTGGAGATACTTTGATCATTCATAGTGATATCACTATATTGTATTTTCATTCTTCTATCAGTTAAATGAAAATGAGTTTGCTTGTTATTCATCTTATGTCTAACTAATTCTTTTATTTTGAATTGATGATGTAAAATACATGTTGAGTACTAATAATGACACTTATTCTATAAATATTAAAAGATATTTTCAATATTATCCTGCTCTTTATTTAACACACATAGAGGTTATATTTATAGTTAAAATTTAGTGTAATGTATAGTCTTAACGGAGGAATGCAAGAACAACCAGCAGTATTGAGATATGATGTTTACATGCTCAGTCATAAGATATAAATTATTCTAGGTTCTTAAGGAGATGATATAACTATAGGAGGTCAGCATATATCCTTTTCATTCATACAAGCTCGACATAGATATAGGAATGCATATGCTCTGAATATATCACATTACTATAAAGAGTCTCTTTAGGAAAAATATACAATTTAAACTAATCAATCCAAAACAATTTAATTAAATATTATATTCAACATTTTTACTTTTTTATTTAGTGATAGAATCTCTAAAAATTATCATTTTTATTTGCAATTAGAGTAAACAGTAATAATTTATTACAAATAAGCATACTTTTTCGTGAGTTTGACTCTTTACTCTATCACTTTATTATTTGATTTGGCACTTATGCTTGCATATATTAAGTGAGTTTTGTTATTTTTATAAAAAAAAAAAACTAAAGCATTGTTTAGGAGTGATAAAATCCTATTTTATAACAACCCTCATCAGTGCTTATACAACATGTTCTGATGGCTAAAAAGTCATGTTCTAATGTATACGAGTATGTTCTGGTGGTAAGATGACATGTTCTAGTAACTACGGGCATGTTCTAATGCTATATGCATAAAGGTAGTCATAAGGGGCTAGAACTCTTTGAGATTATATTTGGGACTAGAGAAATATGTTATGTTATGTTCTATGATATGAATTTCAGTTTATTTGACTGCTTAGTATATTATTTAAATTTTGGACAACGGTTATGTTCTTATTACTTTGCTCAACACATTGATTTTATTATATTGCATTTAAATATTCTAAAAATTTGTTTGATAAAAAAATATTTAGAAATTTAGATCATTATTTGTAGTCTGTTGAGTTGTTTTAGCTCACAGTGGTTTACAAGGCTGGAGGTAGGGTGGGGGCACGTGTCCCCGTTGGCCGAATGATTTTTTAGGATAACGTTTATATGTACAAGCTCTCAATGCAAAAAAAAAGTTAAAAATCATTCGGTTGAGTTCTCTCATCCATAAATATTCTCTCTCTTTCATCCCTCCCTAGTCCCTAGCTATATTGCGAATAAAAGCTAAAATTCACTCCGTTGTACATACGAAAGCAAAAAACCCCTTTAACTACTAAATTTTTTAGTAATTTTTTATCTTTTCAAAAAAATGTTTCAATTTTATTTTTAGGATTCTATTTTAACTTGTAAAAATTTAATTAAATTAAAAAATTAATAGTAAAATTTTATTTGAGTTAAAATAATTTTAAAGTAACCCTCTATTTGGCAGTTAAGACTTCTTCTGGGATGACTTTCCTAATGCTTCCTAAAATAATGTTTTAAATACATAAATTTTAATTTTTTACTGTAAAGCTACTCTAAAAAATGTAAGAGGGATATATTTAATAGCATTGACAATGAATTGATTATACAACAGTTTCAAAAAGTGGGAACTCGTGGGAAAAATTATAGATAATATATTAGCCTTTTTGTTTTATCATATATTTTATCTCTTTATAATAAAACTAATGATTTAAAAAAAATTGTCAATGCCGATTTCAAATCCGGATGAAAAAGGTTTAGAATTTTTTTTTCATCATGATTTGTGCCTCCACATCAAAAAAAATCCTACCTCCGCCCCTGGTGGTTTATGTTATATTTTTTTATGATTTGGGAAAGGGAATGATCCAATTTGTTTAGGATCTGATTTGAGTTTATAAGTACTTCTTTTGTTGATTTTTGCACAATCATAACTAGTTGTATTATTCAATTGTTTAGCAATAGTCCTGTAATGTGATTATGTATAGATATTTTGATGATGAAATGGAAGAGATTTTACATATGAGTTTATTTTAATACTCTATATATTTTAATAGCTCTGTAGTCTATCGTTGTTTGTTTTAAACCGAATATTGGAATAAAATTTGAAACATTTCTAAATTTAGATCTTAGGATTTGCATGTAATCACTCAACACGATATGACTTATCTATCAGTACGTAGGTCTTGACGGATTGAGTTGTGACAATAATCTCTATACGCTTACTGCAATGAATCCAATAATTTTTCTAGATAAAGCTCCATTTTAGATTACATAAGTTCCCTATTAAAATATGAATTTGAAAGTGGTTTGAGGATAGAAGATCAAGGACTTTAAAGTGGAAGGAAAAGGTGATTCAGCCATTCAACATTTCACACAGCTACATTCTTCAAGCACCTGATAGGATTGTACATTTGATGATTAAACTAATATTTGTAAAAAAAACTAGTATTAGAGAGCTCCAAAAGGCCATAATTGTTGCTGCTGTTGTTTTTTTGGCCAAAAGGTCATAATTGAAGATGCAAGAATTGGAGCCAACAACTTTATATGGGAGCTAGTTGACTTGATAGAATTGAAATCCTCTAGAGCTAACCAAAGCTTAGAAATAGAGGAGGCATTCTTTGTTAGAGAATCCCATAAGATTTTTTTTATTAGCACCATTTTGAGCATAAATGAAAGTCACAAAGGAGGGGAAGATGAGAAAACCAATCATCTAGGAATGAAGTTGGAGTGAGAAATGAGAGTAGAAAAGGATGCTTTGGTGACATCCCACATGATCTCAATAATGTGATCATGAGAAGCAAGATGAAATTGGTTACTACTATGCTCATGAGGGAAGATATTAAATTGCCTAAAAGAGAAATAATTAGGCAAAGAAAAGACATCCAATTTAATCTCCAAAAGATAAATAAGACCAACTTTATGATCGTTGATAATATTCTAGCAATCAATAAATATATCATCATCATTAAGGTTTCGTTTGGGACGCGTTTCTTACGGTTTTTTAAAGCAGTTTTCTAGCACAAAAAAATAAAATTTTTGTACTAAAAAGCTGCTTTATGAAGCAGTCAGAAAAACATCTCAAACGAAGCCCAAGTCCCCTAACATCAAAATCCTTGGTGCATGCAACATAAAGAAATGAAGGAATCTGATATGGAGTTGGAGAAAATATAAAGTATAAAATACTAACACAACTGAACATAACAAAGTAATTAATTAATTAAAATTTTAAATTTGTTTGTGTTAAATCTATTTAGAAACAAAATATATATCTCAGCTAATATAAGAAAATGTATATATATATATATTTCAAATAATGAACCACAAATCCTATTAAATTTTTATGTGTGGTTCGTTTTCACTCCTAAAAGCCATTTTGGATTGCCTTTTTTTTATACTAATTAGTAATTAAGGCTTTATGCTATAGTTTAATGCACTCATAAATCTAAGTCATAAATGTTAAGCAGTACTTGTTATCATCGCCTTAAATATGAATTGAATAATGATTTCAATTGAAAATTGTCTTACAAAGGCATACTTTGCATTAGGGGTTGAACAAAGGAATTTTTATTGAGTGTGGAGTGCGGACGTATTTCTATATATGTAATCCTGTAACAAAATGACACGTGGAGACGCGTACGACCAACCTTGGCCACCAAAACATACAAACCTTGGCCACAAAAAAAAACATTTAAAAAAAAAAAAAAAAAAAACACACGTGGTTATTAGAACGGTGGGGTCAAGGTGGGCTCCACGTGTCATTTTGTTACAGGTTTGCATACATAGAGATACGTCCCCATTCCACACCCAATAAAAATTCTGAACAAATGGTAGGAAATTGCCGACCTTGAAATCTTTTTTTTAATAACTATTTTAATTATATTGCCCACATTTAGTTGTCCAAATTTTAAGAAAAAAAAATTATTTTCTATTTCATATATAAGATTACTCATTTTACAATCTTATTTTACTGACCCTCAAAAGAGTTTGAAAACTATTAAATTACATCAGGTTGAGTTTGAAAACTATTAAATTTATTTTAATATTAGTGCATCAAATGTTCATTGCCTGCAATGCTTTATGGTGCCGAATGTTGGCCATTAAAAGAAAATCATAATATTAAGTTAAGTGTGACAGAGATGAGGATGCTCAGGTGGATCGATGAGTGGCTTTACCCTTAAAGATATGATACGAAATGAGCATATACATGAAAAGGTTAGAGTAGCTCTAGTAGAAGATAAGATTAGAGAAAGTCGCCTTAGATGATTTGGTCACATAAAATGGCGGCCTTCTGATGACCAGGTTAGGAAAGTAGAGGTATTAGATTTGAATTATGTTAAGAAAGGTAAAGGCATACCTAAAAAGACTTTGTTATAGAATATTAAAAATGATCTTTCTTTATTATATTTAATAGAGAATTTGACTTTTAATATGACACAATGGAGAAAAAATGATTCATCTAGCCGACCCCACGTAGTGGGATAAAGGCTCGATGATGCTGTTGTTGTTGCAATAAATATTCTTTATACATAATATCAAGCTCAAAATAATAATACTGTAGCAAACTTTAATAAAAAATAAATTATACAGAATTAATCATGGAGCAATCTTAATAGTAATGTCTCTCCTATAAGCAAATGACGAAATCATAATTTTTTATAAAGGGGGCACAAATTTAATTTTGTGTATTCATGCTTGAAACATTAATTTATTTTTATATAAAAATAAGAGTTGTACGAGGATGAATAAAAGATTAAATGCGAGTAACTATAGTTTTTTTAAATAAATTTTTTTAGTAAAATTAAAATAAAAAATGGAAAATAATTCTATAACTTTTTTCTTTTGTTGTGGGAAATATCAAATATTCATGATTATTCATCCTGGCTGATTTTAAAATTTTTAAAATATTATATCTGATTTTAAAATTTTTAAAATACTATATACTATATATTTTTCCTTACAAAGAAGGGTGGCATATATTTATATATGAGTAATTAGTGCATTAATTATCAAAAATCAAAATATAATGAAATATCTATTGTAATTGAATAATGATATAGTCATCAATCGAGTAAACCAACTTAAAACTTTTTATTTTTATACATATATCTTCTTTTATATTTCTAACTCGCCAGCAACGTTGTACTCTAAAGTTTCGTTTGAGACAGTTTTCTTACTGCTTCTTAAAACAGCTTTCTAATATAAAGATTTAAAAAGCTGTTTTAAGAAGCAATAAGAAAGTCGTCCCAAATAAAACTTAATTAGAGGAGCATCTACTACCTTTGAGGTTTCATTTGGGATGACTTTTTTACTGCTTCTTCAAGCAGCTTTTCAGTACAAAAATTTTAATTTTTGTACTAGAAAACTAGTTTAAGAAGCAGAAAGACAGCCGTCCCAAATGAAGCTTGAATCCCTCTGAGTCTCTGACCTAAATTTTACTCTTTCAAATATATTTATAATCATAAATTGTTTAATAAATATTGATAAGCAAGCTCACATTCAATTTATTAGAAATTTCGAATTTGTATTTATACAGTAAGTATTGAGCACCAGACTCCAGTGTTGTTAATGCATAAAAAATCATAAGATGCGCCCTTCGCAAGCCCTCTTTAAGGATCGGGGAGGGTGCGAAAACCTTCCGGTAGAGATCAGGTCAAACACCACCTTATTCGCAGCGTCGGTATAGTGAATTCCGTCCCACACCACCTTCTTTGACGGCTCACGACACGATCTTCCAAGCAAAACCACGCTGCCGTTCACCGTCGCCTTGCTCCCACACAGGACGTTGGGGTCGAAGTTATACTTGTTATTTCCATGCCCGCAGCAGACCCTCAAAGGGTCCTTAAACCCTACAGTTTACACATTCCACAACTCATTAGATTCCATATATTTTTAAAGTTGCAAAAAATAATCAATCAGCATCTCCTGATAGATATAATCAGCTTTGCAAGATTACCATCATCAAATCATTATCACGCAGCCTAGATTGTCGGATCACACATAATTAAAAATCGCTATCAGGCTCCCCTCACATGACCAATGTTGCTACCTCGCCATATTCGTCAAACCATCTATGTCGAACCACTACAAATGGATCGCTGCCGCTTGAGCTTTGTCACTGGAGCATTGTCCACTAGACTACGTACCATCGTTGATGAACCAAGAACCAGCATTGTTAGATCGTAATCACCAGATCTTGATTGTCGATCTGTCATCATCTTAACACCTTTCCTCTCTCATAGTCTCAATAATATTTTCTATTGTATTAACAAGTGGAAGAGCTAACTACATTATATTTTTTTAATCATGTCTTCTCTAACATATGGAACAAACACATCTTTATAACCAGCGTTCATTTAGCGAAACTATTTCAACCACTTTAGATCCTGTGAATTTTTTATTTCTCGAGATTTTTGCACCCCTACACTACAATCTTTTATTTCATCTTTGTCTATATCGAGTTTTTATACAAAATTAAAACGTTAAATTCTCTCTATAGTATCATGAATGTTCAAGCACGGAAGAGTATAACAAATTTATTTAAAAAAAAAAAGTTGGCTTTGACATTTTGAGTAAATTCATAATCTAAATTAATTTTAAAACTAGTTAATTTTCTTGAAAAATTATATTCAATCAATTTGATTAGCTCCTTTAATTTTTAAATAATTTTTAGGATTTTATTAAGTAGTTTTCTCTTTTATATATATATATATATATATATTCTTGAGGCAGCAACCTACCATACTTGGCGGGCTTGAGGAAGAGCGAGTACTTCGCGGAGTAAATATCCACGTATGTTATAACGGCACGAGGCAGCTGCTTCCTTAACTCCACTAAAGTCTCATTGAGTTTTTTGTTGAACTGCTGTGCCACCTTGTTGTAGAAGACAGAACAGCCCGCCGGATCAAGCTCGCCGGCGGCTGTGAGATTTCGTAGGACCAGGGTGTAGGCGAGACAACCGAGTGGGCCGGTGTTGTGAATCCAGAAATACCTCGCCCCAAGGTTATAAATCCTCTTAACTTCGCCGGAGAAGACGGCTAACGTCTGTGGAATGAACTTGTCAGACGTTTTTCTGGCGCCCAAGCCGGCGGTGATGTCATTCTGGCCGATGTCGATCGTATACAGAGATTGGTTGAAGTATTCCTTTTTTGGCATTAAGGACTTGAAGCACCCTCCTGTAAGCAACATGGATTATCTAAACAATTTATGAGAATTCTATGTGAAATCCTCTTAAATAATTATCTAAACAAATACATTTATAAAATCTTCACCGCAAAAATACCGTTCGTTGTTCAAATAATTTTACTTGCCTCGCTTGGCGACTAATTGAGACCTGGGAACGAATTGGGAGAACTGCATAACCTGTACGGCGAGGTAGAATGGACTGTACCCGCCCTGCGACAGAGAAATGTTTTGATCTATAATGGTGGAAGACACGGTGGCGAAGTCAACTCCATGACTGTAATTTGCACCCAGCGAGTCCAGGTAGGAGCTCAGGAATGGAAGCCCAAAGCTCTTTGCTGTAAATGCATTTCATAAAAGAACTTCATTATTTATATGACATTTGAACCCTATGCAAAGATGGCAAGGGGGTTTAAGCAATGGAACCAATGAAATCGATGATAAGACGGCCGTCGGAGAGTCGACCCGCCGGCATATGAAAGAAGCTCTCGCCATTGGGGGGTGGAAACGGGCCGAAGGCCGCCGAGAACCCGCCGGTGTCAGAGTTAGAGTCGCCGAAGTTGATGATGGCTGGAAAATTGCACGCCGGCGAGGAAAATGCTATATCCGGCATGCTGCAGTAAAAGAACAGGACGTGGAGGAGGATGAGAAGTTTCATTTTCGATTTCTATGCTCTGTTTGAATTAAAACAGAGAGAGAAAGGGAGCATTATATGGGAAGGTGTTCATCCAGAAGAAGGTTGCCCCCAGAAGAATAGTTTTCTGTTCGTACGAAGGTTGGTGATTGAACGTCGTGTTCCTCTGCTTCGGCCTTGGGGGATCTGTCTCGGTTGATTCGGGTGGGCGGGGAAATTATTAATTGACGTATAGGTGCCGATAGCAAGTCACATTTGAGTGAGTTTATACTTTTCAAATATTTTAGTTTAAAGATTTTAAATTTGATGCCTGAATTTGGGGGGTTAATTTCGGGTCACGGATCAAGTTCAGATCGAATCTGGAACTGATCCAGCACTATTCGGGTTAACTTGAATCCGACCCCGCTTCGGGTTTGGGTCAACTCGACCAGACCGTAAGTCACTCTCAGCGACAGCGTAAGCCCGTTGTTCTTGCGCCTAATCAGCCAAATCTAGGGGTGTCAATTTTTGACACGACCCGAAACTCGACCCGGAAAAATCCGGGTTCGGGTCGACCCGTTTATGAAACGGGTCGGGTTGAGGTTCAATAAACTAACCCATTTCAAAAAACGGGTCGGGTTCGGGTTGACCCGACAACCCGAAAATGACCCGGAAATCCTCTGTCCAGTCTACTACCCGTCCTGCCCGAAGCATCCAAATGCCCTGCCCGAAGCGTCAGCTGTGAGCTGTCAGCTGTCAAGTCGCGTCGAGCCGTCGACACCTGCGCGGTGCGAGTCTTGAACGGTCGCGCATGCACGCCTGCGTCGAGACGGTCGAGTCTCGCGTCATCGCCCGTCGCGCGTGCATGCCTGCGCGATGCGCGTCCTGAACGTCCGAACCGGCCCCGCCCGCCGCTGTCGCGTGCGTGCCTGCCCAGCTGCCCTGCAGCGGTGCTCCTGCCTCGTCCCGAACCGACCTCGCCGCTGTAGCATGTGCGCGTCCCGAACCGGCTATGCCGCGTACCGAACGAGCCACGAGAACCCAGGCATAAGGCGTTTGAGTTTTTTTTTTTTTAAATCCGGGTTTGGTCTTGTCAACCCGACAACCCGCGTGGGTCGGGTCCGAGTTGAAAACTTGACCAGTTTATAAAAACGGGTCAGGTTCAGGTTGACCCATTTAGAGCCGGGTCAATTCGGGTTCGACCCAAACCCAACCCGTTGACCCGAATTGACACTCCTAGCCAAATCCCATAAGCGGGCGACGCGCGACAAGACTGCGGTAGCGCCAACCGGCGACCTGTGGCAAGGCAGTGGTAGCGACCTGTCACCACTACAGCGGCAACGACGCAATAGTGGGCTACGGGAGGGCGAGAGTGAAGACATGGGTAGGTGACACGGTCATGCTACGTGGGAACGCGGGTAGGCGTTGTCAGCCGCGGGCAGGAGGGCAGGCACGGTCATTCCGGATTAGACCCAGGTTTCCCGGTCAACTTAAACCCGACCCGATTTTTGAAACAGATTGGTTTGTTGAACCCGAACCTGACCCGTTTTAGAGACGGGGTCAACGGGTTGACCCTAACTATGAATTTTCGGATCGGATTAAGGTCGGATTTTTAGGTCATGTCAAATATTGACACCCCTAACGTGAATATATAATTTGTGTGACTTTATAATAAAGTTGTTTTTTTTTAATTTAAATTAAAAGTTATATAATTTGTTTGAAAATTTAAGATCACACTTAGATTTCATTGATCTAATATTATTTTTAAAATTATTGAGTAATAGATGTAAAAATAATTTGGACATATTTGAAACAAAATAAAGAAATAAGGGAAAACAATATTAGGAAAAAATATTATTGGAAGATGCCAAGCTCATTCGGATGCCAATCAAGAGCCTCCAACGTGGAGGCTCCTAATTGACCTCCGAAAACGTTTGGCATCAGCACGTAATAATCCCTAAAATTTGCCCAAGAAATAAATGGGGTCAATATTAGGAAAAAATATTATTGGAAGATGCCAAGCTCATTCGGATGCCAATCAAGAGCCTCCAACGTGGAGGCTCCTAATTGACCTCCGAAAACGTTTGGCATCAGCACGTAATAATCCCTCCAGTACTAGATTGAAAAGAGATCGTGCCCGAAATCTGGAATCAACAATAGTGTGAATGAGATAGTTCAAAGAAAATAGAGAAACTAACAAATAGCACCTCAATTAACATAAATACACATATTTTCATGAGGGATATTAGATTTTAATTTTCACGTACTATTTTTTTAGATGCATTACAAAATATATTTTTTATATCAAAAGCTTAGCCATTGTTATACTGTCATAAAAACAAAAACAAAAAAATCCTATTGCTACTTTCAGCTTATAAGAAAAGGGCATTAATGTGAGTTGTGAACATGAAAAATCCCTTAATAATCTTACAATAAATAGCATCCATATTGTTAAGGGCATCTCCAACGAAGAACTCCAAAATTTACGGCAAAATAACGCAGAACTCCAAAATGGCGTGGTGCTGCTCCAATCGAACGCCATTTTAGGTGTTTTTCGGAAGTTAACGATCTTCTCCCTTTCGCGCGTTTTACCGGTTGAGAAAGTAAAATGGCATGGGTGAACAGTGCGACGCCAATATTGGCGTCGCACTGTTCACCTGCAAGTAAATGACAGAAATTTTTGCGTTTGGTTGGAGCGACGGACGGACGGCATACGCTCGTTTGGCGTTCGGTTGGAGATGCCCTAAGAATCTGAAAGAATTACATCCAAAGTAGAAGAAGGCCCCATATGGGATGCAATCTTAAAAATGGAGATGGAAATAGACAATCAAAGACAAATGTGAATGCGATATATTATAAGCATTGCAAAGGACATAAGATTGATTCATGGAGGTGTCCAAATTTTTTTAAAACGAATAAAAAATTTAAATTTCAGCGATATGCCTTGCCGAAGAGGAGAGAGGGAAGAGACAAAATGTTGTGCGGGGCTTTTTTATCCGTCAATTTTGTTCAGAGAAATTGATTATGAGGCATTACAGGAGGTGCCTTAAATAGCCAATATGTTTTTAGTTTTCAACTCACATTTCAGAATCTTTTAAGCAAAGATATCATATTTGATAGCACAATCTTTAAGCCACACAAAGTTCTTCCATATGAGATACAATTTTAAGGATGCAGATGGAGTATAGACAATCAACAAACCGATGTGAATGAGATTCATTATAAGTATTGCAAATGACATAAGATTGATCAATGGAGTTGCCTCAAACAATCAAGACATTTAATTTTTTATTATTTACCTCAGTTAAGAAAGTGGAACTACTAATTTAGATTTATTTTAGTTGAATCTAATTTTATCATCATATCTTTAATCTCTAACTCCGCCACTATATGCAATGCAATGCTCGTGGGAAGAAGTTGATCATGAAGCTCTACACTGCTCAAGGTGAAATCGAAACCCCGCATAAAGTTGATATCAAAGCCTTCCAGCTAAAATCTTGTGCATCATATCTATCTTTATCCCCATTTTTCCATTTAACCTAAATTATTATTATTATTATTATTTATTTTTTATTTCCATTTTTAGATAAAAAAGCCGAATTAGCGTCATGTGTTTCGCTCTGTTAGGGTTTTTCCCTTTGCCAGCGTCGTTCGCTGCTGTGTGGGTGGTCTCCTCCGCCTGCTTCACCTAAGGGAAGCCCTCTTTCTTCTCTAAATCATTTTTTACTGTGATCTTCTTGTTTAATTTTTTGGTTTGACGTCGTCTTCTCAACTTCGTGACACGGGGTTTTTGCACGGTTCTTCTTTTACTCTTTCATTTAAAGATGCCTTGTCTGGGGCATCTAATTGTTTCGTCCAATTTCCCAATTTGAGAATTTCTTCTCACCGTGGATTGCCGGCGTTGTTGATTTCAGAGGATGAAATTAAATCTATGCTGCTCCTTTTGAATTTGCTTTAGTAGGCATGTTTCCTGGCCGGAGGCCTTCCATTGATGCCTTTCAGAATTTTTTTTTCAACCAAAAGCTTAATGGTGATTGCTCGATCACTATTCTCAACCATAGGAATGTCTTGATCAAGCTTGTCAATGATTTTGATTACTGTAGGATCTTCTTTAATCGTTCTTATTTTGTGAGTAATTGTTTTATGAAAGTTGTGAAATGGATCCCGACTTTGGACATTGAGGTTGATTTGTCTATCGTACTTGTATGGATTTTATTTTCTTACCTTCGGCCACATCTTTTCTCTCCTCGAATCCTCTTTGGGTTGGGTTCTTGTTCATGAGGACTTTAAAAACTGATACTGAGACGGCCTCTGGTTCCCGTCCTTCGGTTGCTCGCATCCTTGTTGAGTTAGATGTCATTAAAAAAATTTCGGATAAGATTTGAGTGGGTTCAGCTAATTCCGATTACATTCAGTCTGTGATTTTGGAAGATTTCCCTCATTATTGGTGCATTGTAATTCTTTGGGTCATTTGAAAGATGAATGCAGAATTTTACAACCTCAGCTTAGTCTTATTGTTAAACCCCTTTCTATCCTTAGTGAGGCTACCCCTTCTTTTGTCCCGTGTGAGTTGGCTATGGTTAATGTTGTTATTCCTAATATTTCTTCTGTTATGCCTGTGGAGGGGGCGAATAATGTAGTCATTTCCCCTGTGATTGTTGATCTTAATCAAAATTAGCCTACTGTTGTGTTACCAGTGACTCCGTTTGTTATTACTAATAGTAATATTGTGGTGGTTTCTTTGTTGGTTGTTAATGAGGAGGCTGGGGGGATGTTTGCCTTCCTGTGGAATCTAATGCACTTTTGAGTGTTGGTTATGATGTTAGGCCCGTGGCTTTGGCCTCTGAGGGCCTTGCTATTTTATTTTCCAGGACTGTAGCTAGTGTGTTTTCTAATTGTAACAATTTGGGGAATATGGGCATCGATGTGGGTGGCATGAGTTGATTGGTGAATCATGTACCTATCCCATCACCCCCTACCCCGTTTACTTCTCATATCAGTGATGTTGATGATGAGGAAGAATTTTGTTTGGATTATGTGGTCGG